ATGACTAAGTGGGATTATCCCAGGAATGTAATGTTGTAGTAACATCTTTTTTTTTTTTTATTCATATGTGCATACAAGGCTTGGGTCATTTCTCCCCCCGCCCCCACCCCCTCCCTTACCACCCACTCCGCCCCCTCCCTCTCCCCCCCACCCCCTCAATACCCAGCAGAAACTATTTTGCCCTTATCTCTAATTTTGTTTAGTAACATCTTAAGAACTAATTAATATTATCACCATATGAATAGGCTAAAGGAAAAAAGGTTGCCTCAAAAGATAAAAAAAAAAAAAAAGTTTAATGAAATCTAACACCTGTTCATGATACAAACTCTCAGCAAGCCAAGAATAGAATGAATTTCCTCAGTTTGAAAAAGGTAATCGTGTAAATGCCACAATTTACCCCACCAGCACAAGAAAAATAAAAGAAAAAGTTAATCAATGGAAAAAACCAGTTTAGATGGGTGTAATGGTGCCTGCCTGTACTCCCAGCACTCAAGATACTGAGGCAGGAGGATCATGAGTTCAAGAACAGCCTGGGCTACATAATGAGTTCAATGCCAACCTGGGCTAATGTAGCAAGAACCTGGTCAAAACAACAACAACGAAACAAAAACAAAAAAGATGTTCCATAAAAGAAGTAATAAACTGACTTTCATCAAAGTTAAAAACTTTTACAATTCAAAAGATACCATTAAAAAAGGACACAGACTTGAAAAAAATTTTCCAGTCAAATATTTGATAAAGGATTTATTTCCAGCATTAATATAGAATTCTTTCAACTCATTAATCAGACAGACACATGACCCAATTAAAAAATGGGCATGATCTGAATAGATATTTCACTAAAGGCATACAAATGGATAGCTGATGTGGTGGCATAGGTCTATAATCCCAGGCACTAGAGAGGTGGAGGCAGGAGACCAGCATGGGATACACAGTGAGACACTGTCTCAAAAAAAACCAAAAACCAAACCAAAACAAAAAAACCCAGCAACAAAAAGATACAAATGGCTAACTAGCACATTAAAATCATTAGTTGTTACAGAAATACAAATTAAAACCATAGGGAGATGCCATTTTGCATCACAGAATTTGTGGGGGATTTTAATTTTGATTTAAAAAAAAATGGGGGGAGGGGCGAAGGAGGACAGGAGTGTGGTTCAGTGGCAGAGCACTTTACCTAATGCATGAACAAGGCCCTAAGTTCAATCCTCAGCACTCCCCCCGCACCCCCCCCAAAAAAAAGAATTAGAAGAAGAAAAAGATAGGTACAAATATTGGCAAAGATGGGGAGAAATTTCTTATGTTGCCATGGAAATGTAAAATGGTACAGACACTTTGAAAAACCTTGGCAATTTCTTAAAAAGTTAAACATAAACTTACCATGTGAATCAGCATTTCCACTCCTAGGACTCTACACATGTCCACAAAGATTTGTACATGAATGTTAATAGCAGTGTTATTCGTAATAGTCTCGAATTAGAAGCAATCTAAATATCCATCAATTGGTGGATAAAATAAAATGTGGTGATCTATACAGTGGCATACAATTCAAAAATAAAGGACCAAACTCTTGATATATTCTACAATATGGAAGAACCTCAAAAATATTATTTTAAAGTAGGAAGGTGTAACTCAGTAACAAGCATATACGAGGCCGTGGTTTGATCCCTAGCACCAAAAATGACTGCATGTTGTATGATTTCATTTATATAAAATGACCAGAATTGGAAAATCTATAGAGACAGAAAGCAAAAATAGTGGTTGCTTGAGGATTGGGGAAATAAACGGAATTAACTACAAAGGAGATTAATTGAGGGAATGATGAAAATATTTTAAAATAGGATGGTAGTGGAGCAGACTAACCTAGAGACAGATGACATAAAAAAATTTAAAAAACAAGTTAAAATCAAAGCATGAAAAAAAATCAAAGTGAACTAAGAACCAGGAGCTAAGTACAAACACTGTATTAATAGGTAACTTTGAAGTCTCATACTCTCCATTAAGCTATAGCAACTGAACCATGCTTTTAACCTTGCATTAATGATTTGCCCAGAGCTCTAGCTAAGCACATCTTGAGTAAACAGCTCAAGAAAAACAAAACAACCAAACAAAAAATACACCTGATAAGGCTTACCCTTGTACTAAAAGAAGACCTTGTTAAAGGAAAATAATTATCTCCTAATGATGGGCTTTTCTGCCCTAAATAAACATCTAAAAAAAAGAACCTGGCAGATTCTTGAATCACTTGTCAATTAAGGAGATGTGGTCTCTGGGAATCCCAAACTTAAACAGTTTTTAAAACATAAGATGCAATTAGAGAAGGGTTGTCACAGCAAAGAATTAATATATCAGATGGTCCAAAAAAAAAAAACCATGCACAGAAACCAGGTGCCGGTGGCTCACACCTGTAATCCTAGCTACTCAGGAGGCAGAGATCAAAAGGATCTCAGTTCGAAGCCAGCCCAGGCAAATAATTCGTGAGACCCTATCTTGAAAAACCTTCAGAAAAATAGGGCTGGTGGAGTGGCTCAAGTGAAGGCCCTGAGTTCAAGCCCCAGTACCACAAAAAAAACAAAACAAAACAAAACAAAAAAAAAACCATGCAGAGACAAGGGCCTGCAGTCCTCTGCCCAGACTTGAACCTTATAAATATGACTTACACAAAGGACTTGGCACTACTTGGGAGGTTGAGATCAGGAGGGTCTTGGTTCAAGGCCAGCCAGGGCAAATAACCCAAATTACTGGGTTACAGACTGGAGGTGTGGCTCAAGCAGTAGAGTCTCTGGTTTGCAAGTCTGAAGCTCTGAGTTTAAACCCGAGTCCTACCAAAAATCAAAACAAAACAAAAAAACCCCAAACCACCCAGTTCCACATCTCCAGCCTCCTGGGATACGTTTTGTATCCTGCTTTTCTGCTTTACTAAATAAAACTTCTATAGACTTCTCACCTAAATAGACTTGTCCATAAATTCTTTTCTGACAATGCAATTGGTGCCATGAATGTGGCACCCTATGTTACAAGCTCGGCACCCAGGTTGAGGTTTATGCTGAGAAGTCTCTGGGTTTGAACTGGTCCTCACTTGAGTGACAGTAATGATTGTACAGTTCTTTATATTTACTAAAAATCATTGAATACTTGAAACTGATTAATTTTAAAGTATGTAAATTGTACCACAATAAAAGGATTGGAAAATCAGTGATGTGAAATGGAGAAAGACTAGGGAAGCAGGAATTGGTGATGTAGGAATGTTGATATACCTGGATGTCCTTAGGGATTTCAAGAAATTGTTGAGCCTCTTCTTCATACCCAATGCTGGGCACACAATAATGGAGACTCTTCACCACCTAGTAAGTACAACAGAGCAGCAAACGGGCCATTATCAGGGATGGATATAGCAGGGACAAGCAGAACAGGACACCAGGTAGACCACAGATGCTTTCCTGTTAAGGGCTGATGTCTAAATTGAGACTGTGAAGGACAGTTTCAGGGAGGTTGAGTGTGAAGAAATGCCATATTATAGTGGCCTTCCCTGCTTGACATGGAGTTTAGGTTTTTTTAGGATCTGCAAAAGTAGAAAAAAAAATGATAGGGAACCAAACTAGCTTTGCCAACAAGAAAAACATTTGTGAAAAAGAAACAAAGAAAAAAAATAGAGAAACATCTGTGTACTACAATGCCTGGGATAATTCCTATGAGAACTGGATAATCCTGTATTTTTTTGGTTAGGTAATGGTACCTAACTGTAGTGAAAACCAGTAGTTCTGGACTTTGGGGTGGAGAGGAATGGTTTTTGCTGCTAGTCATGAGGGAGAGGAGAAAAAGAACAAAAACAACAACAAAAACAAACAAAGCAGATGAGTCTAGCTAAAGCTCACCACTCTTCACACAAGGGACTCTTTGGTTCAGAATGGGGGGGGGGTTGTAGACTACATCCAAAGGGCTGTTTCTATCTCACAGCTGTATTTTCCCACAGTGCAGAGCTCACAGATAAATCTAACTGCCTCTGTTTTAGCACAAAGGTATGTGCTTCTGTATCTTCCCTTCACTGCCCCAAAACCTCCTGGGTGTGATAGCTGTGCCCTAGGTTGAAGATACTGCTCCTCTTACTTGGACCATTCTGAGTATAGATAGCTAGTATCAGAATATAGAAGACCAGCTGATACGTCAGGTTAGTACCACGGCCCGTGGGGTGTTGTTCAAGTGGTAGAGCACTTGCCCAGCAAGCATGAGACCCTGAGTTTAATCCCCACTACCACAAATAAATAAATAAATAAAAGTTGTCACCCAAGAGTATAACCATTACCCAATGGATGAGATAGACCACAGGCTGACTTTGGTAATTTTTGTTTGTTTGTGGTTTTGGCCATTGAACCCAGAGGTCTGCACATGCTAGGCAGACTCAGTACAACTGAGCTACATCTGCAACCCACAAGCTGACTTTTCTGTCTGAAGAGTTTCTGAATTCCCACAACCATAGAAACCTTAGGAAGGCTGATCTGGAACATAGCTGTATTTTGGGAAATGGAAACTCAGCAGGAGCGTAGCTCTCATACACTGAGCAAACTGGCCAGCCCCATAGTGCCGAGCTGTACCCTAGACCTCCACCTCTGGGAAGGGACCTAGAAATGAATTTGTGGCTTAAAATTTTCCATAAACTTTCATGTGCACCAAAATAAAGCACTTAGAAGTGCCTAGGAAAGGAGCTGGGGGTGTTGGTTGCAGGTAGTCATCAGGGTAGCCTCTTCAATTGGGGAACTATGGAGTTTTTGGGCAGTTGAAGAAAATGGGAAACTTGAGAGTAGGGAAGTCTGGGACAGAAGCAAATATGAAGATGCAACAAGAAAATGAAGTCTCTACATATTTTTCACTAGGACTTTTGCTGTACATTTGGCTTTCTCCTTATTTTCACAGGAATATTTGTACTTCATATGAATTTTTAATGAATCACAGTAAAATATGATCTACTTCTAATATTTAAAAATAAGTCAGGAAAGGGCAAAAGTATTAGGAGTGTTCTCTTTATTTCTCTTTGGTTTCTTAACACAAAAGACATGCGTTCTATAAATAAAAGATTTTCTGTGAAACAGTAAATTGTGTATGGGGAAGACAGAATTTCTACTTAATTGATCTGTGGTCAAGTCAAAAGGCTGGTCTTCAGCTTTCCATCTGGTCATGATCTCAGGTGAAACCCAGAAGGGAAGGCTCTGTGTCATCCAAGAAGGTGAAACGCCCAAGAACAGTGAACAACACTGTCCTCTGCTCTGAGCTGGGCTAGATCCCAAAGCCTACCAAGCACAATGTCTATCCTTGTTATATCCTTTCCACAATATACTTTGGTAATTCCACTTCTTGTCATGGTAATATTGGAAAGGCTCCAGCACTGAAGAGCTAGACCAGCCATTTGTCCTCAGACTGAGGAACTGAGTAGGTGAGTGTGAAAATATTGGTGTTTATTCAATTGTGCTCAGAGCCCAGATTAAAACACTGGCTTGATCTTACTTGGAAAAAGCCTCAGGTGCACAGTATAGGTGGTAGTGGACTCAGGAATGCCACTACAAGAGCAGCAGACCATGGGAAAATGATCTATCATTCTCAATGGTGAAACCTGGCTGGCATCCTAAGGACCTAGGAGGCCCACTCAGTAAGCCCACTGACTGATCCAAGTGGACTCAGGAATGCCACTACAAGAGCAGCAGACCATGGGAAAATGATCTATCATTCTCAATGGTGAAACCTGGCTGGCATCCTAAGGACCTAGGAGGCCCACTCAGTAAGCCCACTGACTGATCCAGGCTTCACAATTCAGGCTCGTCAGTGCTGCTTTAAATTCACAAAAGAAAGGGGCTCATAATAATAAGACGAGCACTGATATATTCCTCTTAACAGGAAATAAGAACCCCCCCGCCCCGGCAATCTCCTTCAGTCTACCTCTGTAGGTAACTGAAGGGGAGTGAGAAATGCTGGAGCTCCACCAGGAACCCAGGCTAAACTATATCAGTTATCAGATTGTTGAGTCTTTTAAAAATAAAAACATAATTTTCAAGTGCTTATAGCAGAGGCCCAGTTCCTAAGTTGTAGGTAACAAAGGGCCTTCCCTCTGAATACATGGCGATTGCACACACTGGTAAACCTGACAGTCCTAGGGTGGGGGATACCCGGGGCTCTACATTGTGCCTTTCTGAACAGGTTTCCAGGCTACTCCAGGCAGGCAGCAAGGGACAAGAAATCAACCAGGTGGAGAGTGGCACCCTAAGACACAGTCTTAGGCTAAAAGGAATTGCATCTTCTTTTAGTCTCTATGGAAGAATTTTAGAAAACCAGATTTTGGCGGCAGCAGTTGAAGGACAGCCCCACTGCCCAGTGCACTGGTCCTCCTTTTTGGGTCCTGCTGTGCTACATTAAGGTCCCATCCAGAGAGGAGGAAGGAGCATGGAGACTCTTCACAAGGTCATCTGCCAAGATTAGAGGAAGAAGTATAAAATCTGTTCTTCGCAGCAGCAAAAGTTTCTTTCAGACTTTAGTTCTTTGTGTCATAAAGCCAGCTTTGCTTGAATGTAAAGGTCCACCTTGCTGGTCAGTCTGGCAAGGGCTGGAGGGAAGCCAGACCCCTGGAATTGGCAAGTGGATGGAGGAGCAGTGGAATGGCAGGGCAGACCTGGTTACCATACCAAGTTAGCCCATGGCTGGTAGGAGCAAGCCCCTGGTTAGATTCTAGAGGTACAAATGATCAATGTGCCCCAGAAGCAACACGAGGAGAATTATCTAAGGATGATAGGTGGGCAAGTGAGAATCTGGCCAGACATGCTGTTTCCTGCTGGTCAAAAAAAGGAATGTATGTGGGAGTGGGGTCCTGAATGAGCGCCGTGGTGGCAGAAGGAGGTAATCACAGGGGTATCTGGAGCCTCTAGTGACAGTGGGAGCTCCCACCTAGAAGAGTGGCAGTAATTCAGCCAACTCATTAAGCCTACAATTTAAAAAGTCCTCTGATGTTGGGTGTGAAGAAAAACCCCATGAGCACCTTGCTACAGGACCAGTTGAAAATCCACTGATTCCAGACATGCTGGGGCTCAGAGGGAACCCCAACTGCTTTATGAGGCCTCAGGACCCTGGGATCCAAAAGCGGGAGTGGATACCACCATTCTCATGTTGGGCGGTGTTCCATTTAAACTTGTATTTGCTTTTAGTGTCTTTTATGTTTTCTTCCTATAAAAAATGTTCACTTAAAAAAGCATTTTTTTCCAGTTTCTTTCAAGTGTTAAAATTTCCTTAGTTTCTTTCAAGTATCTTTGTTTCTCCCATTACTCCTGGACAAGATGCAAAAGGCCTCACTTAAATCCCAAAATCAGACATAGGAAAGACTTCTGTTCTCCCTGCTTATTTGGAGACAAGGACAAAATCCTCTGTACCCTGTGATGGAAGAATGAGCAGGCTGTGTGCCACCAGCATGCTGCTGTAGCCACACTACCACAGGCAGTAATAGCACTTGGGGTGTCCTTTCCCCCCCAGCTATACCCCAGTTTTCAATAGGCATGGCCTCTGCAGCCTCCCAATGGCAAATTGACTACAACATGGCTGTAGTCATGAACAGACAGGCAAAGAGGAGCATCAGATGGAAGGCATTCTGCAAATGGGTAGATCAGAGCGCTGCAGCAGGTGAGAGCTGAGCTTGGAGGGAGCCTGTGGACATGTGGACCAGCAAAGCAGCTCTGTGTCACTGGCTGTGGAACCAGAGGGGCTTCTGTCCTGTGCTGTGCATCTTGATGACCTAAGGTCACCAGGGCAACACAGTGAAGGAGGACTTAAGCACCTGGAAAAACTGTACCTCCAGCAAGCTCACATTTCACCCCATCTTCAGTGGTCCACCACCTCTCCTGAGAGGGATTGCTCCCTGGAAGGAAGTGCCTACGTTTGTACCAGATCCCTTACCCAACCACATCCCACCCTGTCTTAGATGGTGAGAAGAGGGATGCAGCCCACACCAACCCCTCCCTCATGGCATGCCATGGGTGCCATAAACGTCCAGCGGTCCATCTCTGGGTCATACATTTCCACTGAGCTTAGGTTGGACTGTCCATCATAGCCCCCTACTGCATAGAGGCGCCCACAGCTGGCCACAAGGGAGACCCGACTCCGGCGAGTGAGCATAGGTACTATTAGGCACCACTGGTCTGCCACAGAGCTGTACATCTCAGCAATGCTGAGAAAGCCAGAGCCATCGTAGCCTCCACAGACAAACATCTTACTTCCCAAGGAGGCAGCACCATGCCGGCAGCGCTTGTTGAGCATGCCAGCAGCTGGGTGCCAGGTAGCTGTGTGATGGTTGTAGTGCTCCACCTGCAGAAGGGAGAGAGGCACAGTTATAAGACAGTCAGAGCCAAAGTCTGGTCCATGGGGTGACCTTGCAAGGCACAGACATCCACATGGCATCAGAATAGTGGGGAGGCCTGCGGATGAGGAGCTCAGCCAGTGTGTGCTCTGGTTCAATGCCATCTCCTCAGTTTGGCACGTGCTCTTAGGCACATAAGAGCAGCCAGAGATCACCAAATCTGACCCTTTCTGTGTACATTCAAGGAAATAAAGAAAGGATCTGCCTAAGGATGTGTTCCTAGGTAATGACAGAGAGCTGGGATGAGAGTGGGGTCTCCTGTGATTGTCCCGAACTTTGCATCACAGCACTGACTGACTCTGGAAAACATTAATACATGGCTGCTGAGCCATGTAAATACAATTTCAAGCAGTGTTCAGAAGAATATAACTGCTTGCAATTCACTCTTGATATGTACTTTGAGTTTACTTTTGGCAGTAATTTGAAAAGGTCTTTTGCAGCATGCCATGTACACTTGAATGAGGGGACAAGGGTGACTACACTTCCTTTACCTCTTCTTTGTACATTCTGGCACTTCTCTAAAAGTTAAGAATTTTAGTGGGTATAGGAGACAGCTTGGAATCTCACTAAATGATGCTTTATCCAGCAATGACAGGGCTGAATGTTTTTTTTTTTGAAAATAAGATGGAAGGAGTAGGTACTCTTAGCCCAGGAGCCCAGACTCACACTGTTGAAGATCTGCAAACCGTCGTGGCCACCTGACACATATATCCTGCCCTCAAAGATTGTAACCCCAGCAGCACTGCGGTTTGAGCTCATCGGAGTCACCACTGTCCACCTTCAGAAAAAGGTCAAAATAGGAGGGGTAGGGCATGAGATTCAGGGTTCCTGTTCTCCCAAGAGCACTTAGCAAGGTTTGGGTAAACTGTGCTGTGTCCTCTTATGTCCCAGACAATCTCCCCACCTTTTATCACCTTTCCTTCCATTTCTACTGATGACACTGCTGCCTCTTGCCCAAGGTTCAGCCTACAACCTGTCTCCATGGGCACGCAAATCAGCACGTCTCAAAGAAGGCCTCTCTTACACATCTACAAGATGTGTACTCCCTGGTCTTGCTAATGGGACCACCTCTAGCCACCTCTGTTGCTAGACTCTGATCTCTCACCTGGACCACTACAATAGCCTCCTTACAGGTGACATGGCTTTTTTAGGCCATCTCTACCCCAGATCCACACAGCTGGAGGAATTGCTCCTCCAGGGGCTGTACCATGTCCCTTCAGTGGCTTCTCACTCTCTCCTCTAAGGCAGAGTCCAAGTTCCTTAGTGTCCTTCTTTATCATGTGATCTTCACACATCTTCCAGTTTCCCCTTGTACCACGTACCTCCCATGCCTGCTCTGCCGCCCTTCCACACTCTGTGTTCCAACCCACTAGATCTTAACTGTTGTCCTGAACCACAGTGATAAGCACTTTCTTATGAGAGCCTCTTGTTTGTTTGTAGGCAGGATGTCTTCCTGCCTACAACAAGCATCTCACACTATCTATTCATGATGGGTTTCACTTCAAAAGACATCCTGCCACCCCCAGACCCAGGGAAGATAAGAGGTCTCCAGGGTAGGATAATCTCGATGTACCCCACCACACTCAGCTGTTTAATACATAATAAGTGGTTAAGTGATAGAACAGTAGCTTAAAAGCATCCTGAGTCCACCCAACTAATTTTCTTACATTTTGTTACATTAGATGAGAGGATTCAAATACCAAAATGAAAAAAAATCAGGCTAATCTTGTTAGTGTTCTTCACAAAATCACACCACAAAGTGGTGACAGGTGTTACAGAAATAACAAGATTAAACAGGGTTACTTACTGTAGAATTTTCCAGACCCTTTGCATTGTTAACATATATTATAGAGAAACAAGGACTCTGGGGGAATAGATGTCAACGTTTCCTAGGCTTATTTGACCATACAACTTTTTTCTTCTTTTTTCTAAATCATGCCTTACCCACTCTGGAACTTTCATTCACCTCTTAACCTCTTCTGTCTGCATTTCCATTAAAATGGGTTGATCTGGATAAGAGGTATAGACCATTAAATAAATGTTCCTATTTTAAAATTTTTATTAAGATTCATTTAACCAAGAGGTTGTTAAATCTATTACCTGCCAAGTATTATAGAGGCAAAAAAATAAGACACTCTTTACTCTTTTAAGAAGCTTAAATAAAGCTTGGTATGGTAGTGCAGGTCTGTAGTCCCAGCATTTGGGAGGTTGGGATGGGAGGATAACAGAAGCCCAGAAGTTTGAAACCAGCTTGAGCAAGAAAGCAAGACCCAATCGTAAAACAAAACCAAACAAAATGAAAGCATCTTAAGTCAAAATCTGCAGTTTTAATTTTTTTTTTAAGCTTTTGGGTTGCTAGAGTCCTTACTTGTCTGTCTCAGGTGAGTAGGTCTCCACAGAGTTGAGTGAAGAGTTGCCATCATAGCCTCCACAGACGTAGATCTGCCCATCCAGCACAACTGTCCCCATGGCACTGAAACAGACAAAGCTGTCATCCCAGATTGACCTTTGTGGGGCAGCCTGTTATACCCATTGAGAAATTAACCTTTCAAGTGCTTCTTTTTAGAATAGACCTACATTCCAGTTATGTGACTAGGTAAAAGTTTAAAATTAAGGCTACAGAAGCTGCTCTGTAATTTCTCTTGCCCCACATGGCTCTGCCATGGGTTACCTCCCATCCCATCTGTTTTTAGTCCTTGATATGCCCCAAATGCTTACCTCCTACCTCACTGTGCTAAGGGTCTACTTTACTTTTAAGGTGCAGGTTAAATTCCCTTTTCTCCTCAAGAAACTTGCTGGATTTCTCACCAAGAATTATTCTCTCCCAATCCACCTCCATAGTGGCTTCTTTATTATAGTATTGATGACAGCCATTCATTCAATGATATGAGAATGAATTAAGAGGTGCCCCCAAGCTGGGTGTGGTGGCTCAGGCCAGCCCAGGCATAAAGCAAGACCCTATTTCAAAAAAAACCAACAAAAAAAGGGCTGGTGGAATGGCTCAAATGGTAGAGCGCTTACCTAACAATCATGAGGCCCTGAGTTCAAATCTCAGTACTGCAAGAAAAAAAAAAGTGCTCTCAAACTGTAAGAGACTGGTAACTGGTAATGGTAAGTATGAAGACAGAAGGGAATGTACTGATCAGTGTGGACTGGAATAGTCCAGTGCAAGAAAGCTCCAAGAAGGTGGCCTGGAAGAGGAGAGGAGATGGGAAGGAAAGAGGGCAGAAAGGAGGGTGTCACTAACTGGCATGATGGAGAGCTGTGTGGGATTCAGGAGAGAATTGACTTAAGAACATTTTAAGGTAACCTATAATTTAAAAGAGACTGGGTCCATGCTGCTAATACCAGGGCATTAACCACAGTGAAATAAAGGAATACTCAGAGGACTTTCCTCCCAGACAACACTCCACATCCACTGACTCAAAGCAAGGAAATGGCCCAGAGCAGACACACAAGGAAAGCCAACTGCTTGCAGTCAAAGCAAAAAAGGTACTTATGGTTGGGGATTTGGGCAATGAGTCCTTTAATCACAGAAAGCTGCAAAGTGTCCAAGGGGCAGAGGGGGAAACACCAGGGTGAGGATGGAGAGAGGGAAGAACTGGGAGCATTCTTGGGAGATTTTATGTGAATATTTTTTTGTTCTTTCAACATGAACCTACTTGGACCTTTTATGAATCTGGTCTTATTGCTACAAAGGCAGATTCCTCCTGGCTCATGACCATATGCTAATACTGCTGAATATGGACCGTGTATATCACTTTTATGTGGCAAAGGACTTCCTCACCACACAATCTGTCACTTAATCTTAGAGAGACCCTGGAGCATGGCAAAATGAATGGGTCTGTAAGGAGAATACTTAGATCACAGCATTATATAAACCACTAAAGACCAATTAGTTCAGTGGTTTTCAAACTGCTTCTTTAAAAATTTTATGTAAGGTTCCCCCTTAAAAGTGGGCATATGTCAAGGAAATTCAAAAGATAAATGTAGAGCTGCTCTGGTTAAATGGGCAGGAGGCCTAGGACTGTTTCCTCTCCTCTGTCAGTCCTCTGAGGAGAAATATTAGCATGCCATTTGAAACCACTCATCTGCTTTGGCCTCCCAGGGACAGAAGAGTGGAACTTGTCCACACCACATGTTTGATGTAAGGAAAGATGACACCTGTCATCTCTGGACTAGGAAGGCTAAATGCAGGCACTACTGGGATGTCCTCTAATCCCACACCTTATTGAGGAAACAAGTAGCCAGAGTGTATTCAGTGACATATAAATTTGGTCTACTTTGCAAACACCTATGTACTAGGGAATGTGTGTGACCCTGAAGTGCAGAACACACTCCCTTGTTGCAGGTGGTCCCTGGGTAGTAAGAGCACATGTGTAGCAAGAGTTCAGGGATAGAGGGGAAGGTATAAAAAAAAACAAAACACCTAGGAGCTGGGCACTGGTGGCTTATGCCTGTAAACCTAGCTACCTAGGAGGCTGAGATTAGGAGGACTGCAGTTTGAGGCCAACCCAGGCAAAAATGTTAGTGAGATCCTCACCTCAGCCAATAGCTGGGTGCAGTGGCTCACAGCTATGATCCCAAGCTACTTGGGGAGGCTGAGATCAAGAGGATTGCAGTTCAAGGCCAGTCTAGGCAATATTTCAAGATATCACCCATCTCCAAAATAACCAGAGAAAAATGGACAGGAGATGTGGGTCAAGCAGTAGAGTAGCTGCTTTGTAAGTACAAAGCCCTAAGGTCAAACCCCAGTCATTCTTCCCTACACCCCCTACAAAAAAAAAAAAAAGAAAGAAAAAGAAAAAAGCTGGGTGTGGTGGTGTGTGCCTGTCATTCTATTGATTGTAGGAAGCTTAAAATAGGAGGATCACAGTACAGACTGACCAGGACAAAAAGCAAGACCCTATCTCCAAAATACCTACAACAAAAATGGCTCACAAGTGCAAATCCCTAGGTTTAAAACCCAGAACCACAAAAAACCCCCCACAAAAAGCAAAAAAGGAAACCCACTTGGATTCCTTTCATAATCAATAAAGTTAAAATTTCCTTATTTTCAGGTTTCAACTTTAATCCCACTTCTTCCCTGAAATCTTCCAGATGTTCCAGTCTACTTTCTTTTGCTCTTTAAATCTTCCACAACACACAATTTCAGCTCTTATCTGGCACTTAAATAACAACACAATTTCCTCATGTCCATGTCTTGTCTTCCCAAGTTCCTCAGAGGACAAGGCAGGTAATTACGTTTGAGCAGGTAGGGGTTCACCCTCAGGAGGTGCTGGCAGTGGCTAACCTGAATGCAAGGCATAACCAGGCCAAAGCTTGTGTTTTACTTCATTATGTGCCTCTGCTTATCGAGCATGGGGCTCCACAGACACTGAGTGTAGGGGCACAGCCTGCACATAGCTTCCAGAATACCTTCTCTTGCTGTTCATGCTCCCCACTCTGGTCCATGTGTCCGTCTCCGGGTTGTAGGCCTCCACAGTGCTCAGTCGCAGTTGGCCGTCATATCCCCCGATAGCATAGAGAAGCCCGTTTACCACAGCCACGCCCACACGGCTTCGGGCTGTTGTCATGGGATGGCACTTCTCCCAGCGATTGGCAATGGGGTCAAACACTTCCACCACATTCAGGGAATCACCTGCATAAAAATTTGCTACTCAAATTAAAACAAATGAGACCACTTGTTTAGATCACAGCTATTGGGCATTGATTATATGGAACATTTGAGCTGATTCTATTAGTTCTTCAATTACCCAGGGCATGAGAGCCCACTAAGAAATTTCAGCCATGGTAACCTCAACCCTACTTCTTTTAGAAAAGTCAGCATGAGGCAGGAGGCATTTACTTTTGAGAGAAGATGTTTACAGTTACAATCAGGTACCTCCTCTGCTTAAAGCAACAATAAAGGCAAATGGATGCAGAGTTTCTCCAACGCAGGAGGCATGCCTAGAGGGAAGGGCAAGGGTCCCAATGCCATCTTTCACTTACTAGTGAGTAACCTTTGGCAAGCTGCCCTGTGTCCCCATCCTCTGTTTCACAAGTGAAATTTAAAGCACAGCAATCATGAGAATTAAATGGCAGGATAGGTATTGCATCTAGTACAGTTCTAGAATATACTTAGTGCTCAATAAATATTAGTCAGAGAAGCAAGGAATAATTCTAACCCTACCTTTTTCACCAGCTTTTATAATGATCAGTTAAAATAATTCCTTTACTTGTTATGTGTCGCTTTAGGTCACTCAGCACTTGCTATACTCTAGCATTTATTGAGTTGAGGATTTAACTTTTTCTAGGTCATATGGTTAACAGGCAGAAGACTAGTACCCACCTCTCATTAACTTTCAATTTAAAGCAAAACTATGCAGGTCTGCCCACAAACTTCCCCAGGAGGGGAGAGAGCACATTGGGCAGGCTTTGCTGGAAAGTGACCATATGCTGCCAGAGCTGCTGATAACACATGAATGTATGTGCTTCAAAAGAGGGGGATATGAAGAATAATACTGATAGTGGCACACCTAGTATATGTGGATAATCTTTCTTCTCTTGGTGACATTCTCACAGTCTGATCCAGAATTCAATATGACCAAATGTGAATAGTCTGATCACAGAATTGGGTCTCTGACTGTGCCCTATCTAGGGCTGAGTATATGTTGTAGCTAATGTAATATTAGGGGAGAGTGCTGCTTCAGGAACCTGGACACCAAAATTCAGTCCTTGCTCTGCCCAAAGCAACTTGTGTGAACATAGCACAAGCTCTCTGAGCTTCCATTTCCTTATCTGTGAATTTTAGCTATGGTAATCTCAAACCTAATTCTTTATGGTCTTTTAGCACTGACATTCTGATGCAAATAGTATGAGTACATGACAAGTTCTAACTGTAGGGCAATGATGTCAAATACAGAGGGGCAAGAGAGGAGACAGCACAAAGCAGAGAAACCAGTCTAGGCTGGCCACGCTAGACTGACTGCCTCTTCTGCAAAGGGGAGTTGCAAGATACCTGCTGAGTTGAGGCCCCCCACAGCGTAGATAAGTCCAGCGATGGATGTGCAGCAGCGAGGCCGGGTTCTGAAAGCTGGCAGGTGGGGCCGGCGCTCTGGCATGAGATGATAGTCCTTCGCTTCATCTACCAGGTCCCTGGAATAAGGTGCAAGATGCTAGGACAGGAGGTATCCTCCTCCTCGGTCCATATTTGCACTTCTGAGCCTGGCTCCTCCACCCTCAACCACAGGGAAAATCTGGAAGAAGCCTTCTGAAAGGTTTGGTCTCAGAAATCCCATGGGATGTGGGAAGCCTTGCAGGGCTACTGAGACATGCTCCAAAGTGAAGGGGCAAGTCAAGCAGAACCTACCTCAGCTAGTGTAACCAAAACTATCTTCCTTTTTGTCCCTATGACCACTGTAATCCATCATCCTTCACATGCACTTGGGCTGCTGTTGCCAACTGCTTCACATGGATTTTCTTGACTCTAGCCTGCCCTTCCAACTTACTCTCCAAGCCATAACCCATGTTGTTTTTTCTAAGTACGTTCTTGATGGCTACCCACTGCTGATCAAAGGCTCACATTTCTTGGGATAGCACCCTTGGGACTGCTGGCCATAGAGTCACAGCTACCACTAGCCACAGCTCTATTCCTTCCTGCCTGCACCAAGCCATTGAATTCCTCCTGAACCACCTGATCCCAATTGAGATGAGAACGTAAAGGAGAGTTGAATATGTGCAAGAATCTTGTCAGCAAAAGAGAAGAAAAGTATTTCACTGTTGTGAATATGACAAGGAATTTGGAGGGTGGACATTATTCTCTGCTGCTTTGATTTTATCACAATCCTATTGGGCTACCATGTTCTGAACTATGTTGGTAGCTCTACTATGCCAAGTCATTACTGACTTTCTCTGGGTAGAAGTTTCACACACTGTAAACAAATCCTCTTCTTGCCCATCACTGTCATTGCAAAGCTACTAGAGGCTAATGCACAGATTTACTGATGGGGATGAGGAACCTCAGGAAATTCCATTTGTACCATCAGGTCAACTGCTAGTGTGAAAAGGGTCAGGGCAGACAGTACAGATACTCGTACACTAACAAATATCTCCGTGGATGAAGATGCTAGAACATACTCAGGTAACTTAGAGAACAGTCCTTTCTGCCACATGGCATATCTCTACTCCTGGTCTAAGTCTTGGGTTCTTACCCAAGACTTCCTATTCTGTTTTAAGACAGACTGGTCAATCCATATGCCATGAATTAGACTAAATGCTCCAAATCCTTCCTTCCCTGAGTTGGAACATGTGACCAAGTCCTTTTCTCTACCCAGGTCCTCAGCACTTGCTCCATCCTTGCTCACCTGCACTTGTGACAGCAACGCACAAGGTCATCTTGCTGCACTCGATCTGACAGGAACTGGGGCCGACAGAGGGGCAGGCGGATATTGGACAGCAGCTCAGGCAGGTAGGGTCCCCTTTGTTCCTGGTCATATCTGACCCAGGCCAATGCAGCTTCAAAGACCTACCAAGACAAAGAGTAGATGCTCTGGCAGCAAGCCAGAGGCCACACCCTGATTGCTACGATATGGAAAGTATGCCACTTTCCATATCGTAGCAATCCCTTGGGCTTACCAATTTTTCCTATTTGAGTCTGGAATCCAGAGCTTTCTCTCCACATCCCCAGTTATCTCAGTAGATCCAGTCTTTTGTAATGTAAGTCTGGGTTACTGTTTCAGCTCCCTAGCTTTCATTATTTCCTAATGAGTACCTACCAATGGTACCTTATTCCTTTCTGTATCACAACAAAATTTCAGTTTCTCTTTCTTTCTGTTGCTCCTGCACCCTATCACTTCAAATCATCCTCTATTCCAGTCAAGCTGTGCCAGTTCCCCAGTTTACACTGTCTTCACCTAGAATGCCCTTCTCTCCTCTTCATCTAAGCCTAGTTCCCTTTCCCTAAGGCATGGCTCCAAGCACCCAGTCATTGGCTCCAGTCACAAGGATATCTCCCTCTAAAATCCAACAGCCCTTACAGATGTACTGCTCAAATCAGTATGAACTGCTCCAGGTCATAATAATTAGTGGAAGAGCAAGGAACTTGAGATGAGGCATTTTCTTTCTAAATCAGTGTCCATGCTGCCAAGCTCAAGGTATACTTGCTTTTTAATTTTTGGCAGTACCGTAGCGGGTGAACTCAGGGCCTGGTACTTGCTAAGCCAGTGCTCTACCACTTCAGCTACTCTGCCAGCCCTTTTTGCATCAGTTATTTTTGAGATAGAATCTTGCTTTATGCCTGGGCTGGCCAAGGCTACAATCCTCCTATTTGTGCTTCCTCATGTAGCTGGGATGATAAGTACACACTACCATGTGTGTGCCCAGCCACTGAAGATGGCAGAGATGGGGTCTCAAGACCCCAAGCTGGCCTTGAATCTCGATTCCCCCCATCTCTGCCTTGGAGGTGGCTAGGATTATAGGCTTGAGCCACTGTGCTCAGCTTTTTTTTTTTTTCCTTGTAGTACTGGAGTTTGTTCTCAGGGCCTCATGCTTGCAGCTTGAGCTGCATCCCCAACCCAACCCCAGGGTCCACTTTTCCACTGGGCACTACTATTCAGAGGTAATGACTCTGGAACTAATATCACTGCCAGCCCTCACTACTCTGCCCAAAATAACCTACTATCTTCATAAGACCACTTGTATCAGACCTTTGTTGATCAGAAAGGATCACCCTTCCCTCTTTTCTGGCTACTTAACACCCTATACTTTCATTTTAACTTTGCTTGGTCACCCCGAGATCTGTCTTCTTTGTTCTTAGAAGATCCTGTCATCACCTAAACCTTGCTTAGCCAACAGCTGCACCCTCCATGATGACTATAACTGGGTTTATCAAGAGCTTTGCCTCTTTCACAGTTTTACATTGGCTAGTACTTCATCACCACCTTCAACCCTCCCAGGTCAGGAATTGACTGCCCATTAGTCTTTCACAATGCCCCTCTTACCTTCTCAGCTCCCCACATGTGGCCTGTTTCCTCACCTCTCTTCTGGGATGGGTTCCATGGTAATTATGCAGGTGCCCTCCATTCCCATGCCAAGCTCCTATCTCCCTCAGTCACACTCACTTGATTACTAATCTCATCAGGCCCTGCTCCCAAACAAGCCCTCTCCGTCTCCCAAGCATTGTCCATTTACTCCCCCCCTAGAGCAGTATTTCATACCGTCCTACCTCTCCTCAAATTTTTAGTACTCTTCTCTCATATTCATTCTCAGCCGAAAACACAACTCACAAAAGAACATGTAGCTCTCCCTCCCGAGGCCATGGATGTAAATAACTTAAGCTATCAAATATACCCCCCCAAACCAAACCAAAACACCTCAAATACACACCCTTTGTGCCCTAGACTGACTCTTTTCACTTCAGAACAGTCATCCAGTCACTATTCTCCCATTTATCTTGCATTGCTGATTCAACCCTCTCCTCTGGAAAAGTCCCAACAGACATGTATGTTATAATTTCTCTCACCTAGGGGTGTGGCTCAAGCAGTAGAGTGCCTGCCTAGCAAGTATGAGGTCCTGGATTCAAACCCCAGTACACCACCACCACCACAAACAAAACCCCAAAACTACCCAAATGCCACCAGATAGGATGGTATCCACCTGAAAGTCCAGCACTGGAGAGGCTGAGATAGGAGGATCAAGAGTTCCAGGCTGGGGGCTTGGAAGTCTTGGTTTTAAACCCAGCACCACCAGTGCCCCCACAACTCCCACACTGAAAAAGAGTTACAGGTCTGCCTGGGATACATATCAAGACCCTATCTCAAAACACCAACAACAAAACAAAAAAACCAAAAAACAAAACCCCTCCTGACCTATCAACTACCCAGTGCTCTGATGTCTCTTGAAACAAGATCCTTCAAAAAGTTATCCATACTTGCTATTTTCAGTTAGTTCTAATATGAATATTGGCATTAACCCAAACATCTAAGAATAAGAGAAGTGAGGCTGATAAAATATAGAGTATTATTTGCACACTAAAATATAAGGAAGTTTTATGAAAAATACATATAATAAAACAAACCCCGTAATACATACTAGCTGCATACATGTCATGATCTTAATTTTTTTTGCCTTGAACACACTGGGCAAGTGCTCTACCACTTGAGCTCCACCCCCAGCCTTTTGTTACTGTTTTGTTTTTGAGACAGGCTCTCGCCTGGGCTGGCCTCAAACTCAAGATCCTTTTGCTTCTGCTTCCCAAGTACGTAGGATTATAGATGTACATCACTATGCCTGGCTAAAAATCTTAATTTTACAAAAAAAAAAAAAAAAAAAAAAAAAGAAAAGAAAAAAATTAGTAGAAAACAATGGGGAAGGGTAGCATCCCCTATGTTGCCTACAGACTGCTGCTGACCTGCTCCTCTGACTTCACATTCAGTTCATCCCGAGACACCAGCTCAAGCACATCTTCCAAGGGCAGGACCAGGAACTCTTCTGACATGGACACCTCCACAAAGTGCTGGTGGATGAAGCTGTTAGCCGCGTCATATAGCACAGCACACATCATTGTCTCAGCAAACTGGCGCACACCCAGGCAATTTTTTGGGTGAAGCCTTTTGTCATAAGAAAAGGTGAAAAGAAACAAATAGAGGAAGGAAGAAAGTTATATTCAGTAATTTTCAGAATAGTTCTAGGTTGAGTCACAGAACAAAAGCAAACAAATTTTGTCCTTAGAGTTGTTGGAAACTCCCCGTGACACCATGTGTTCCCCTCTGGGACTCTTCTGGTACAAAATTAAGACAGATTATCTTCCAGTCTTTGCTTCTTGGATCTGGGGCCCTACATGTCAAGGAAGAACAAGTTCTCGGGAAGTCCTGTGTAGTAGCTATCAGAGGACAAAAGAGCATGCACAGGTAAACATGTGCCACATTCTACACTGCTGTTCCTGGTTTACTATTTAGGGCACATTCCACCTCTACTCATCAGGAACATACCAAAGTTATAGAATGAGTCTACACCACAGAGACAGATGCCTCTCTAACATAGGGACCTTATACTTTTTTTACTTTTTTAGGCAGAAAGAGGATCCATGAACGTAACTATTTAGACATCCAGAAATAACAGCAGCAGCTAACACCATCGGTGAATCAAACACTTTACTAGGTCTTTTATATACATTCTCCATAATCATATACATATAGTGCTAGGGAATTGAACCTAGGACCCTGTGCATGTGAGGCAAGTGCTTTATCACTGGTCAACACCCAGCCCACTTATTCAGATGTGCATACATTGTTTGGGCCATTTCTCTCCTCCTCTCCCACTTCCCCCACACCCCACTTCCAGGAAGAACCTGTTCTGACCTTATCTCTAATTTTGTTGAAGATAAAATATAAGCAATAATAAGAAAGATACAGTGTTTTTGCTAGTTGAGATAAGGATAGCTATACAGAGAGATTCCTAGCATTGCTTCCATGTACACATGTGTTACATCCCAAGTAGATTCATTTCTAACTGACCTTTTCACTAGTTCCTGATCCCCTTCCTAAATCTTTTTAATAACTCTGAAAAACTGCACTCACTTCATAGATGGAAAAGAAGCCTCAAGGAAACCAAGAAATGCAACGCAAGGAATGACAAGCAAATAGTAGTGCTGAGATTGAACCAGGACTCTGCCCATTTTTACAGCACCAGCAGGAACTTGTACTCATCAGGGTCAGGGAAATCCTGGTCTTGCCCTCTGGTCAGCCTGGGTGGGTTCCTTACATTTTCCTAAGCGTCAGTAATTTCCTCACCTGGAAAAAGTAGATGACAACAACTATCCACATCCTAGGGCTGGGCCATGATTAAGAAGGAACATAGAAGCCGGGTGAGCTGGTGTGCATCTTGTCTCAACTACATGACAGATGACTGAGTGACATTCTGACCTTGAGCTCTGTGTTCCTCACTGGCCATGCTGCCATGTCCATGTTCTTGTTTCCTTGGTCTTTGAAAATTTACTTAGGATTCTAAAGCAATGGACAGAAACAACAGCTATGTTGGGAGGCTGAGGCAGGAGGATCACTTGAGCCCAAGGGGTTTGAGGACAGCCACAGTAACACAGTGAGACTCTGTCTCTAAAATAAAAAATAAAAAAAAATTTTTAAATAAAAATTTAAAAAAAGAATGTAGGCAAAAGCATTCAGCAAGGTTCCTTGTATGAAGTTAACTGCTATTTTAATTTCTATTATGGTTGCTTTTGTTAACTCCAAATGAACCCAGTGTGGCTCTGAAATCTTGATGACATGGCAGATTCTGGGGGGGATAGACCTTTTCTCATTTTGCTTTTGTGACTGATAATCTGTGGAAGGAGATGGTATTAGATTAAAAACTTCCCAGGCTTACTTTTGTTCATTAGATTACTTTCTCTCTTTTTCCCTTAGGGTGGTTTAATAGTTATAGGTACAGAGTTTTATTTACTAAGCAATATTCACCAATGTCTCCCAGCAGCAAACCTGTCAAGGACTGAAAGGGCAAGAGTACTTGAGGTACCTGGCTTGATGACTAGTCTAAATTCTACACAGCTATTGTTTTTTGTCCACTGTTTTGGAAACCTAACTGAATTTTCGAAGGCCAAGAAACAAGAGCAGGGGGCAGCACATGGACAAGGCAGCATGGCCAGTGAGGAACACAGGGCTCAAGGTCAGTCATCTGGCCATTCTCCTAAAACACTTCTTCACTGCCACACAGAAAAGGGGCCCATTCAGGAGGAGGGAGACAGGAAGAACAATAATCCTAGAGGGGAGATAGAGATCCACATCTTTCAGTAGACCCTGCACAACCTTCTTCTTCACTGATACAGCTCAACTTAGTCAGCAAGGAGGCTGCGCAATATATAATTCTTTATGAGCAGCAGGAAGCAGGGTCTTGAATTAAGTAAGTTACTGACTTGCTTTATGGATGCATCTCATGTTATATTCTAGCCCTAAGTGCTGGAGGTATAACACAGTGGTAGAGTCTACCAAGTGCAAAGCCCTGAGTTCTATCTCCAGCACCACAAAAATAGAAACAACCTCCACCACCCCACTCCCCAGCCAAAAAAGACAATCTAGTTCTGAGAGAAGAGTTTCAGAAATATACAACTCCAGTGTTCACCTAAAAGCAAGGAGGCCCATATATCTGAAGGCAGGGAAAAAGGCCACAAGACAGAAAATCAACTGCAGCCTCACTGGAGAAAAAAGCAGTAAGCTGAAGAAGACAGTCTGAGGGACCTCAGAAGTCATTGCTCTAAGAGCTGTGCTGACATTGTCTCTTTTCTGTGCCGTCGTGCCCTCTATTTCTCCTTACTAATCACAGGGGTTTTCCTCAACTCCTTGGCAATCAAGCCTTGAAACCGAAGGGCCTACATGCTTCTCTTCAAGGGCTCATGGAAGGGGGAGCTGGAAGACCCCACCACATTCTGCAGCCAGGCTCACGGGAGAACCACCCCAAGAGGCAGTAATGATAACTATTGGAGAAAAAACAGAAAGCAAGCTAAGCGTTTACAGCCTGTAGCAGGGAAAAAAGATAGGAATGAGGTGTGGACTTTAGTCTCAGAAGGGGTCCTGCAGGATGAATGAAAAAAATCTCAAAAATAAACTTGAAACACTAGGCTTTATGTTTTAAGTACTCATTCCTAACATGTTACTAAGTCATGTAAAAACTGCACTGGTCTAAAAATCACTATTCAGCATCTTTTAGGTAACAATGCCTTAGGACAGCCTGAATTGAGGGTTGACAATGATGAACGCAATGTCCCGTAGGTGGAGCTGTTGTCCCTTGATGAGGGTATGAGAATAGCCAACTTAATCCTTTGCCTACTTCAGAAAGTCATTCTCCAGATTCTATGGAAACAAAGAGATCAACTAAATCTAGTCTGTGTCCTTAAGCCCACAAATGAGTAGGAAAGACAGTGTGTTACCCCACACATCTCCACATGTAACCCTCCAAACTGTTCAGAAGGCATCCCAGGATGCCTGGTTCTGGGACTATACTGTCACTACAAGGTCTTCATCTGCAAAACCAGACACAGGACCACCAACCTAAAGATGAAACCATTCACCCTGTGCCTAGCTGATGAATGTCCCTGTGTCTGAGGTGTCACTACCATGGTTATTATGACTAGCAACACACATGGCAGTGCTCAGTGACGCCCATGAGCACCACACGGGAAGGGGCCACAGCTCAGTTGCTCAGTTGGATTGGTGGAGTGGAAATTGGGGGATGAGAGGTCAACTCTAAGAGGGGATGAGGTTCATGAGAGCACAGCTGAGGTAGAAGAAATGCTGATGATCATCAGGCCAGGCAATCAAAGGATAGCACCACACTCATAGAGGTGCTATTCTGGTTTCTCCCTGCATATGTGCGGCACAGCACCAACCCTTATCCCAAAGCCGCTGGTAGTTAAATGCTTTTACCTTACAATGGGAGTTCTGTCTCCTGAGGGGGAAGAAGAACCTTATTGCTCAGTTAAAAGGTCATGGGAGAACTGTGAAGTCATTTGCCAAGCACTGGAAACAGGATATAATCCATGGTCCTTATCCTAAAAGAGCATATAATGGAGTGGAGGGAGAAGGGTAGAGAATTCCAAGAGGTGAAATTTGGGTGGGCTCCTAAAAAGCTGAAGTACAAAAAGGAAGGTCAAGAAATTCAAGTAGAGGTAGGTATCTAAACAAAGATGAAGCTGGGTAGGGAACAATTAGGGAATGCTGAATAAAGCAATGTGGTGAGAAATCATCTAAATTAGTGGTCAGATTGGACAGCGAAGATCAGAAGAGGTACATGTCACACCAAGGGAGGGTAAGCAGGGCTATGCAAATGCCCAAAGCAGTGGGCACTGCTCAGCACTAATTTCAAGGGAAATGTCATCTCTGTAGAGTAACCTTCCCAGCTCACTCCCTTCATAAAACTCTAGATACACCAAGGACTCAGCAATATGGCAGAGTATTCCAGAGAGGAGGGTCATGCTCCTCATCACCTCACCGTTCTCGGAGGAAGGTGCAACAGGCATCTTTGATGCTCTGTAGCTGCAGGAAGCTCGCCCCCATCAGCAGTGACTGGACATTTTGCTGGTCAATGGCAAGGTTGCCGTTGTAAGCAAAGTTGATCAGAGCCTCCAGTGCACTAGAGGAAAGACAAAAAAGAGTGAGAAGTCCTTCAGAGGTGAGTCCTAGCCCACAGGTGACTCAGGCCCCAACTGAACTAACATGGAAAACAGATGGGCCCTGCTCCAAAATCCATTTAACCCATGTCCCTTGAGAGTCTAAATGGAGTAACTACTTCATCACAGCCAGATTTATTCTACTAAAGCTCTCTTCACTGTCTAAATAATTTTACTGCAGAAAGAAAACAGCCACCCACAAACTCATTCTTAAAAAAGAAAACAGTGGCCAGACCTGGTGCCACACACCTGTAATCCTAGCACTGGGAAGATTGAGACAGGAGGATTGCAGTTCAAGGTTACCCTGGGCTACGTAGTAAGTTTGGGTCAGTTCAGGCTAAACAGTGAGACCCTGTTGCAAAGAGCATAAGAGAGAAGAAAGAAAAAAGTAAGAAAGGAAGGAAGGAAGGGAGGAAGGAAGGGAAGGAAGACAAGGAAAGAAAGAGGGAGGGAGGAAGGGAGGTAAGGAAGACAAGGAAGGAAAGAGGGAGGGAGGGAGAGAAGAAGGAAGGAAAGGTAAATAGTACTCATTTTTCTTTTTTTTGGAAGTACTGGTCTTTGTTTTGTTTTTTTTTTCTTTTTAGTACTGGGGTTTGAACTCAGTGCCTCGTGCTTGCTAAGCAGGCACTCTACCACTTTAGCCAGTTATTTTTTGTGCTGAGTATTTCTGAGATAGGGTCTCTTGAACTATTTTCCCAGGCTGGCTTTGAACTAAGATCCTCCTGATCTCTGCCTCTCAAGTAGCTAGGATCACAGATTGAGCTACCAGCACCTAGCTGATCATTTTTCTAGGTTCACTTTCAGTCTCTGTTCATCTTCACGCATAATTTATATTAGTATGAACATAAATTACTTAGCAAGTCTCTTCTCATGTTGCTACACTGGCTTCATGTTTACTATTATTTTGGTGGTTGTGATATGATGCTCTAATATGGACGTAGTCTGTAATTTATTGCCTTTTTTGGTAGGCATCCTAGGTATCGCCACCTTATTGCCATTATGTGTGTTGGAATTATTATTGCTTTGGAGTAAATTTTTAGAATGAGATTTTCCAATTTTTTTTTTTTACTTCCAATTTACACTGAGAATGAAATTCAAATTCCAGCCATTGGCCTGGAGTTCTGGTCCCTCTTTATTTCCCCGACCTCCTTACCTTCTACTCTTCTTTCCTTTTCTCACTGTTTTTCAACATTCTGAACACACTTTCATTTCAGGGCCTTCACACTGGCTGTTCCCTCAGTTTGGAGGGTTGTTCTTCTAGATAGCTCTCTCCCTCACTTCAATTGAGGTCTCACCTGAAATGCCACCTGAGCACAGACGCCTTCCCTGAACACCCTGAAATAGCAGACCCTACCATCGTTTGTTAGCTTTTACTTTGCTTTACTTTTCTCACATTATGTTCATGCCCAGCCATACCAGTATGTGTCTGCCTTGAGCTGTGCACATCATAGGTGCTTAATCTCAGTTAAATGAAGCACCTGCATATGCAAGGTGATTAGCACAGCTCCTTCCAAGAGGCCTCAAAGAAGAGGGCACAACTGCCCTGGAGTCCCACTGCTAAGTCTTCCCTCACAAGTAGCTGACTTGAGATTTCTGCCTTGCAGTGGGTAAAAACCTCTCCATGTGTTGGGGCAGATCACCTTCAGTCATCCAGAAGGTACCTAGCTCCTTTCTCACTAGGGTTAACCACAATGAGATTAAGAGGTTAGGCAACAAATAACTATTAGCCAATGGGATAACCTTGGGCTTGACCTCCTTGGGCTCCAATTTTCTGATCCGTCAAATAACCATAAAATCCATCACATTCTAGACCTGTGTTGTCCAATAAATACAGAAGCCATTAGCCATACGTTTATTTAAATTAAACTTCAATTAATTAAAATTAAATAAAATTTGCACTTCAGTTTTCAGTCCCATTAATCACATTTCAAGTGTGACTATGACTTCCATTTTACAAAAAGAACATTTCCATCACTGAAGAAAGTTCTAATGGACAACGGAAGAGAAAGAGAAGTAAATGAAGACATTTATTGGAAAAATTATTTTGCCAGCTAAAATGGCTAGTCCAGAAAAGTAGAGCAAGTAATAAACCACCACCCTGGTACCCAGCCTAAGTTTAAAGAAATATCTTGAACTGCCGGGTGCTGGTGGCACACACCTGTAATCCTAGCTACAAAGGAGGAAGAAACCAGGAGGATCACAGTTCAACGCCAGCCTGGGCAAACAGTTTGTAAGACCCTATCTTGAAAACACCTCACAAACAAGGGCTGGTGGAGTGGCTCAAGGTATAGCCTTGAGTTCAAGCACAGCACCACAAAACAAAACAAAAAAATCTTAAACTCTAGATGCTGTTAAATGTGTTATCTTAATAGTAGAATTAAAACAGCATCAAAACTCCCTAATCTCAGCACTGGGAGGTTGAGGCCAAAAGATCAGATTTGAGGCTAGCCTTGGCTACATAGCAAGATCCCATTTCAAACAAACAACACACACACAAAAGAAACCACCCTTCATTTTAACTCTATCTCAGGCTGAGGTTCTAATCTGTTTACTAGTCCCATACTGGGTGTGGAGCTGAGCTAATGATACTGTGTCTGGATACAGGCCCTCAAGTGGTCCCAAGCACAGGATGAAACTACAAATGGAAAGCAGCCTGTGAAGCCTACTTAAGTTAGTACCTTGGGTCCATTCCTTGCATTACAATCTCATCCTGCTTGCACTCCATCATGTCATTTGTAAACATAGCATGGAAGTATGGGATGGAGGCTGCTAAGACGATCCGGTGAGCACTGAATTTGTGGTCCCCGATCTGTAGGCAAAGGAAAATACAAAGATAGATGTTGAGGAATGCAAACATAAAAACCCAATCTCCCCTTTCACAGTTTACCCCTTTGCTCACTGCAATGATACCAAAGATATCCCAGGCATGACAGCAAGGCTCATCACAGACACCCTAAATTATTTTAAACTCAATATACTCAGTCTATATTCAGCAGAAGAATGTAAACACTACATTTTAATGAGGTGTTAAAACAGTTAAAAAAAATAAGCCTGAAAGCTTCAAGTGGGTTTTACTTATCTGATAGCATCCAATGCACCCCTTGCAACTCCTCCACAAACTCAAATACCCAATACTTCAATACTTTACCTCAAACCCAGTTTTATTGGAAGGCAGATGAAATATACAAACAAACTGCCTGAGAACACTGGAGCTGGTGTTCCCAAGAGAAGTAAATACATCATGGTAGGAAAAGGTGGGGAGAAAAGGGACTGAACTTGAATGGGGCAGGGAGTTGCAGGGGAGACCAAGGACATAGCAGGCAAGATGGGCTCAAAAAATGGGGAGTGCTTGGGTACCAAGCAGGCTGAGGTAGGCAGCAGGCAGCCCAGAGCTCTTTTGGGGAAAATGACCTTGGCAGCAGTCAAGAGGAATGACTGGTACTGCAAACAGGCCAGTGCTCTGTATGGCCCAAAGACACAGAGGCCAATTCTTTCTCCAATTTGTATCAAACCCTCAATGACACATGCTTGAGGAATTCTATAAAGTGATTTCCAACTATCTGCCAAAAGGCTATTCCCTTCAATAATCTTTGCCATTTATAGCTCCATGCTACATAAACATTTCTACTTAAGAACTTTCCATTCTCCAGAAAGATCAAAACAGCCTTTCTTCACTCCCCTTTGCTCAGGTTCCATAATAGTGGAATGCCAGGCCATTTGACTACCTCATGCTCATCTCTTTGTGTCACATTTACTCAAGTTCCATCACTATGTTTTCTTTCACTAACTTCAGGTTTCTTACCCATAAACATTCCTTTGAGATCACACGATCTTCCAAATGACAATTCTTACCAGATTTAATTTCTGGTAGTTCCTCATATAACCCAGGTATTGCCCTGTTACCAATACTGGGGCCATTAAAAGGCTACATGCTTTGGGGAGGTCATCATAATTTTTAAAAAAATCACAGTAAAGTCAGGCACAGTGGTGCATGCCTGTGATCTTAGTACTAGGAGGCTGATGCAAGAGGATGGCAAGTTTGAGGCTAGCATGGGCAACACAGCAAGAATCCATTAAAAAAAAATCACAGTAAAACAAGTACATATTTCTTAAAGTTGTTTATAATGAAAAACATTAGTCTCTGATCCCCTGATCCCATTTCCATGTCCAGCTCTCAGGAAAAATCTCTTCTGGGATTTATATCCATCTTTCTAAATAATATGTCCTTATATTACTTTTTTATATTTTTGAGACAAAGTCTCACTATGTAGCCCGGGATGGCTCTGAACTCCTGATTCTCCTACCTTAGCCTCCCAAGTGCTAGGATTATAGACAGAATCCACCATGCCCAGCTATATATTACTTCTTGAATTTTCACTTAGAATTATTCTGTGGCACCCAGCCCCCAAATGACCTCCTCCCCCAGATACACTCACACCCTGTGCAGTCTTCTCCCTCAATGTATCAGGGTTGGTCTATGTGACCAAAGAATAAAGAAGTGATCTTTAAAGCTAGCAATAAGAGACACTGTAATTTCTTTCTTCCCTTTTTCTTTTTGGTGGTACTAGGGCTTGAACTCAGGGCCTCAACCTTGGCCCTGAGAGTGGCAGGCACTCTACCACTTGAGCCACGCTCCCCGTTCCTTTTGGCTTTATTTTTCTGATAGGGTCTCAAATTTTTGCCCAGGGCCAGCCTAGACTGTGATCTTTGTATTTATATTCCCTGCATAGCTGGGACCATAGACTGTACCATCACACTCACTTATTTGTTGAGATGGGGTCTTGCTAACTTTTCCTCTTCCCCAACCCTAAGGTAGCAAAGAAACACAAACTAGCACAACAGAATTTAGGAAAAAATCATCAATAAGAAACATGTAACTGGTTGGTCAGAAAACTTGGGCCATTTGGTATGTATCTCTATCTTTAATCAAACTTTGCTACACACCCACCTCTAAAACAGTACTTCTGTGTTTGCCTAGCATGCATAAGGTCCTGGGTTAGAACTCTGGTACCGCTGAAAAGAAAAGAAAAAAGAAGTCCCTCACTTATAAAGTATTCTTAATGAAATGAAAGAGGCAGGTTTAAAGTCCAAGATGGATGGGGGAGGAAGGAGGAAAGGAGTCTATGATGTATTGGCAGACTCTGAACTGAAAGAGCTAAGCTCATGAACACAGCTGGAAGCTGCCACATAGGATCAGGATACAGATCTCCTCATGTACATAGCATGTACCTAGTGCCTGTGCCCACACTAGCACTTAACCAGCACACGTATCAGTACCAGCCACTTAGCCACTGTGCAATGATCTTCAGTGAATAACACCTAAAAAACAAATTAGGGGCAATCATAGGACTTCCTAGGTACATACACCCCTCATTTGTTTCTAAGAGAAAAAAAAAAAAAAGTCTAACTGGAAAGCCCAAACCACTCCCACTAAAACTACAGCAAAGACTCAGCACTCCTGCCACCTGGCTTCTGCAAAGAGTAGATACAGAATCGCTTTCTGAGCAAGTCTCTGCATAAGATGCTCTGAAGATTAAAACTGAAGTATTCCTGCTTGCCTGCCTATAGAGTTCCTTCATACTTTATTTATTTATTTAATTTATTATTAAGCCACTGTAACTTTAATACTTGTCAACAATGCTGTTTGGAGTCCAAAAAAGGTGATGGAGTTACATGAAGGGGAGGCTGATTAGGTTCTAAAATCAATGGGTACCTTACATGCACATGCAAGGTAATTCCACTATACTTGGTTTTTAAAATCATGAACATAGTATTGCTTTGGCAAATGTTAAAGGTAAAAGCTGGAAGTGGTGGTGTTGTGTACTTGTAATCCCAGCCATTTGGGAGGCTGAGGCATGAGGATCATAAGTTCAAGACCAATGTGGGCAACACAGCAAGACCCTGACTCAAAAGAAAAAAAAAAATCATCAAAGCATTCAAGTACAGATAAGAAAGAGAAAGTGATATGATGTAAAGCCGAAGTAGGTAAGGTCCTCAAGAATTCTATGTCTTACTGTAGAATGTTAAGAATCCAGGGAACAGTTCTAAGGAAGGAATTCCAAGCTGATCAAGCCACTCTGTGGAGGCAGAGCATCAACCAGAAAGGCAGAAGTTGCTGCAAGGAGTATAACCAGGAGCCCATTGCCTGGTCCAGAGGAAAGAAAAGAAGAGCTTGGTCTGGATGGTAGTGTGGGAAAATGAGGTCAGACTCAGGAAAAAGCCTGGGCATGGTGGCTTACTATAATCCCAGATACTAGGGAGGCAGAGATAGGAGGATCACATATTAAGGTCAGCCTGGGCAAAAAAAAAAAAAAAAAAGTTAGCAAGACCCTTTCACAAAGAACAAACCAGGTATGATGGTACATACCTGTAATCCCAGCTATAAAAGAGGCAGGCATAGGTAGGAAGGTCATGGTCTTGGGCAAAAAAAATGCAAGACCCTATCTGATAAATAACTAAGGAAAAAGGGTTGAAGGTATGGCTCAGGTGGTAGAGTGCTTGCCTAGCAAGTGTAAGGCCCTAAATTCAGTACTGCCTTCCCCACAAAAGAAAAGAAAGCTACTGAACTTGGAATAACTATGACTTTCTACTTGGATATGAGAGTAAGGGAATAGAGGGGTCAAGATGACTTCCAGGTTACTAGTGCTAATGTGGTATGTGGAGGTACTACTTACTTGGATCGTGTTAGGGATAGAAGACCAAGTAGTTTTGGACAAACTGACAGGAGCAGCTGGGAGACATTCAAACAAAGAAACAATGTAGGAAGAAGATAGATAAATTTGGAACACAGATGAGTCTTGGCTCAAATGACACTTCTGGGAATCATTAGTATAGAGAGGGAGAGAGCTCCAAGTGCAAAGAGAAGGAGCATAAAACAGCCTTGAGGAACTCCAACACCTAAAGATCACCTAACAGAAGATGCGTTTGAAAAGAAGACACAGAAGGGGAGTACAGAAAGAAGGAAGGAAGGAAATGGAAGAGAAGTAAGGAATAGTATGGAAGTAGAGAAGGGTACAGGAGCAGCGATAGTCAGACAGGCAATAATAATGTGTCATAAACACAGGAGTTAGAAGGCCCCTAACTAGCTATGTTACTTAGAGGGGCCTCCTCCAAGTTTGGCTTCTCAGCTCATAAAATGAGACTGTTCCTATTCATCTGGTCCCTTGAGAGTTTTTAAGATCAAATATAAAAGTGTACAATGATTGATATGAACATCATTTAACCAAATCACCAGGGCCACTCCAAATTCCTGAAGCGTCAGCAGAAATAAAAAGTGTCATGCTGTACAGACCAAGCTGATGTTGCTGCCAATCCTGGGTCTGTGGGAGAGGCAGCAATTTGTCCCAATGGGCTATGACTTGAGACACATTTTCAAATCTGACACACAGAGGTGAATGGATGAATACATGACTGGACAGATGGACTCTGCAGCAGATTGAAGCTACTTAGCTTTTTCTGAGAGGGGCCTCATTAAATTAAATCATATAAATACATGTAAAAATACCTAGCACAGCAACAGGAACTTGGCAGAGATTTAACAAAAGATTTTGTTGCATCTGACTGAGTGCATCAAAGACATAAATAACTGAAATTCTTGCAAGTTCAGTCTGATGAATAGAACCTTAATCCAGAAGTCAAAACTCTGAAGTTTAGGTATAGTTCTACCATAGATAGAAGCAAGCTTCCCAATTTTACCATGCTTCAGGTTTCCATGTTAGAATATTACAGAATTATTACTAGTGGGAGCATACAAGGAATAAGTAAAACTTTTGAAACTCAAGTACTATGAATACTTGTAAATGTTACACA